TGTGATAAGAGTTGTATGAGCCCCTAATAAAACGATTAGAAAAAAATGTGCTGAAAAACTTGGCTTACACATGCGTATATAAGGTATATATATTAAGCCCTCTCATTTGCTTTTAAAAAGGATTATGAAAATGTTAAGGGGAAGCATTGTGTTGTAGCAATTTCCTCTCATATTCAAATTATCATTATTTTTTTAAGTCTAATTGTAAACTCTACATGCTTTCTTTAAACTTCTCTGGTGTTCTATAGGGACACCCACTTGACTGGCAGTTTTCTCAGTATGTTAGTTTGAGCCAGAGGCCCCTTAACCAGTAAGCACTTAATGTGCTGGCTTATATTAAGCATGGTAGGCAGCATCAACTTGATTGTGTTTGTTTGCTAATCTGCAATTTCTCGTGGGTTCTGTGGGGGCCAGGTGAGATTGTGCACTGCAGATGGGTGGGAATGTACAATTGGACCCTTAAGAGATTAAGCACTCTGTCTGGTGAGACTTCTTTTCCATTCACTCTGCATTTCTATTTGCTGTTGTAAAGTTAATGAGCATTCAAAGTTTACTTTTCTTATTTATGCGTGTGTGTATGTGGGGTGTGTGTGTGCAGTGCTCAGCAAAAGCACCTTTCTTTCTCACCAATGTTCTATCCAAACTGAGTGCAGATGACTCTGAGTGGTTTCATTTTAGCGAGCAGCAGTCATGTTTGTATTAGGGAGACTTGGAGGAATACCAAAAAAAAAAAAAATCATTTTTAAGTGTTTGCCTCATCCTCTGGTGAAAGCATTTGTGTTTCAGAGACCAGGGTGAGTCGTAGTCCCTTTTGGGGACTCATTATAAGTCACTGCTAAGGGACTCAGGGTATATAATACACACTGTGATGTGAATTTAAGGTGATCTGAAATATTCCATAAATAAAATATAGATAAAATAATTATTTTAATTACTATAATCTTTCCTATTTTTCCACTTTCTTCATTCATTTTATGTTATGCCATTGTCTCAGCATAATCTCAGAAAATTTCTACTTATACAATATATTAATTTTATATTGCAGAGTACCTGGTAAATTCCAAGTCTGTCTTTGTCCCCTAGATGTGCAGGTATGTATATAAATAACTTCAAGCTGTGTAAATCTATGTGTTTAATCAACAAATTGTTATATTTTTGTGTATTAAGCTTGGTTATAGATTTAGTAGTTTGCAAATGTTAATTTTGGGGTACTTGTAAATATTGACAGCTTCAAAGGCTAGTACATTTTATACATACATTTTACTTCACTCTATTGTAAGAATCAAATAAACATTTCTAAGATGTGATGAGGCAGAATAATTTTAATTACAAGCCATTCATCTGTTGAAGAGATTAGAGAATATTTTATGGAACTGTAGTATCAAAGCACTGCTGATATGGGGTCAGTCTGTGGCAAAACCACTAGGATTTTGACATTGCTTTATTTTATAATCTTTTTGCCGTTTGAGCTGATTTTCTGTAGTGCTTGCTTTAGGTGAGGAGTGTCTGCTGTGTGCAGATGTACTGTCTGCTGCACTGTCTCAAGCACTAGTGATGAGAAAAAAAATGTTTGCACCTGTTTAAAATCTCAAATGTGTGGTGCTGTGGTTCCTGGGCAACAGGCAGCAATTCTCAAAAGCTTGGTTGCACCTGCTCAATTGTTGCCTGCAGCTGTGTCGTACCAGTGAGCGCACAGAGAAGCTTGTTAGAAGTTTGCTTTTGCTGTTATGGATTTTTGTGTTCTTTTAGTTTCAAAGATATTTTACTTGACGCAGACCTTGAACTATTACATTGGTTTAGTGTAAACCGCACTGGTTTCTTGCTCTCAAATAGTTTACTCAAATCCTTTGTTCTTTGTGTCAAAAATGTTCTTCGCAGCTGTTGACAACCCTAGATAATGTGTATGCTAACCTCTCCAAAGGTTACCTGGGGAGAGTAGATATCTCCAGAGAGCTGAGTTGCTAATAATTTTCGTCCTGGTAGAGACATTTTCTGTTTGGCTCAGTTTTACCACGTTGGCAATTCCACTGTATGAGGCTGGATGTAGTTATTGATCCATTTAGCTGAACAGATTTGAAAGCATTTGGCTATTACTGGACACATGGGGCATATTCAGAAAATTTAAGGGTATAGTATATATAATTTATTGGCAAATTTCTGTATCTTTAGTACAGATGTTGGAAATAATGAGTACTATATAATTGTGGTTAGTAGAATTCTATAGCTTAAATGTCAAAACTCCACTCTGTAGAAGTATTTAATTAATTAATTTATTATTCTCCAATTCTAGTTATTAGAAACTTATCCAAATGACTTGCCTTGTTTTTCTTAATATATGTTTTAAAAATCACCAGGGAGTATTGATTTTGAAATATGTTTTATTTTGTTGTTGTTTTTAAATTAATTACTTAATACAAATTTAGCTAGCTTCTTTAGGTGTAAGAAACATAGGTGCAAAGCTAAGTAGAAGCTTGGGCACAGGCCCTCCATGAAAGAGCTTGGGTGTAGAATCACACCATGCTCACTGCCATGGGTCAAGTCCATCTCATCGCAACCCTCTGTGACAGAGTGGAACTGCACCCTGGGGTTTCCAAGACGGAAGCTCAACTTAGAACAGATAGCCTCATCTTTCTCCCTCATAGTAGCTCACGGGTCTTAACTGCCAACTTTTTGGCCAGCATCCCTATTCTTACCCAACATGCCAAAAGGACTACTCCAGTACATAGTTGGTAGTGAGTAACTGTTGGGTAAATGTATAGATAGGGAAACATTTCTGGAGTTATATTAGCAAAAGAGGGCTCAGGAGTTGTAGAAACTTGTTACTCAAACATTTTGGATGAATCTTGATGAACTTCCTTTAGCTCTCATGCTGCTGACTAGATAAGGATCAAACTGATTAATTATGTTTTAAATTAAGATATTAACATGTAAAGCTGTTATTTCATTATTATCATTAGAAATTGGCATAACCCTATTTACATTTTGCTTTCTCTCCATTTTTGTTGCCTATGAGAAAACTCATTGTATTATTCACACTGTACACACAAGGCTGAGGCATTAAATGACTAAGTTACTTGTTACCTTGGAAATATTTTACAGAATAGGAATAAACCTATTTTCTGTTTTATGATTAATGCCTTTGCTTTATAGTGTGCTCCCTTGGCTTGTTCACTTGATCTCGCTTTGTGTCTTTCTTCCTATTCCTACATCACTGGAAACACAAAAGTAAAAATGCATGTTGATTTTCTTCTGGTCAAGTAAAATTAGATCATGCTAAAAATCAGCAACTGCTTTGCTAAGCAGAAATAATGGGCCCTGTATTTACTGTATGCATATTGATATTTCATTGTAATCCTAACTGTAAATGAATAGAGGTAAAGCCCAGCAGAGGTAAACTCAAAACAAGCTTGCTAAAACCTGCTTTAAATAGGCCCCTGTACACTTTCATTAAGGAGCTTCGGGTGGTTTGGTCGTTGAACTGCAAAATAGACTATTGGAATCCAAAGATGAGGGTATCTACTCTTGTAAACACTTAATCTCTTGCCATTCTACTCTGTCCTATAGCATCACTATGAGTTGGAATCCACTCAATAGCAGTGAGAAAGTTTCATTTACTGTGTCCTGAAGTAGTCACATAGGAATATCACAGGCTGTTTGCTGAGCCTTTATCTGTCTCTCTGAGTGTTTTGTTTAAGCTGCTCAAACTTTTGTGCCACTGGTAGATGATAGGCCTGGGTTCTTTAAGTCATGGACACAGCATTGTTCTGGGAACAGTTTTTCTTTCACCTTAGTTTGCATAAGTGTGTAAGAAGCCAATGTCAAGGACATTTTTTTTTAATTTTCTGAACTGTAGTGTGGTAGATTAAACTCTAGTCCTCTGTTAAACTCAGCAATTAGATGTGAAGAGATGGGACAAAGGCATGTGTCAGCTAGTAGATAATAATTAAACCACATAATGACAGCCAGTTCAATAGCCTATACTAGGAATTATGATATGGAATCCCAAGAACAGAGAAAATACCAAGCCTTGGGACTCCTGAGCATAATTGCAGATTTTCCTGTGATTCTGGGGCTAAAGGGACAAAGGAAGAACATATTGAGGCTATAGTCTGTCTTCCAGCCGTGGTCTTGTAGTGGGCTTCTTCTTGGGGTGCTCACCATAAGATCTGCCGTTCTAAACAAACTGAAACTCTGTGGAAGAAAGATACTTTCTACTCCCATAAAGAATTGCAGTCTCCAAAACCCACAGAGACAGCTTTTCTCTGCCTTAAAGTGTTGCTATCCGTTGGAATCCACTTGAAGATAGTGAGGGAGTGTGTGAGTCAGGGGGTGAGTGAGTGAGTAAGTGAGTGAGTGAGTGAGTGAGTGAGTGAGTGAGTGAGTGAGTGAGTGAGTGAGTGAGTGAGTATGTCCTAGATATCATATTTCTTCCCTTTTTTCTCTTCCTTTCTGTTTTCTTCATTTCCTTATCCCCTTTCCCCCATGTAGTAGGTCAATGCTTACTCTTTTCCAGACATAATGCTAGACTAGATGACTAAGACAAAGTCTGTTCTCAAAAGGTACTCAGATAAGTGAGAGAAGCAGATGCCTGCACTTATTAGTAGTAAGAACCCAGGCAAGTTCCCTAACCTTTTCCTTTATGTTCTCAATTATAAAATTTGAAGATAATACTAACGTGTATTATTATATTTAGACTTGTAGTTGTGGTTATGTTCCATGCAGTCAGTTCAAACTCATAGTGACCCTTTATACAACAGAAGAAAACACATCCTGGCCTTGTGCCATTCTCACAATTGTTCTCAGCTCAGTGCATGGGCATATAATACATGCTCAATATATTTAGTCTGTGCTCATAGTATTTCTCTCACCATCACTACCTTTGCCCTCACCACAACTCCCAAAACATAGATCAGAAGAGAGACCATCTAAGTGCCTGGGCAGGGATTAACCACTGGGTATTATCACATAGAGCCTCTGGAAGGTTCTATCCAATGCTACCTCTGCTTCACAGCTTAGAAGTTTTGTATAAAAATATATTATGATATTAGAACTTGAAGGGACACTAATGGTCACCTATTATATTTCCTTATTTTACCTATAATGAGGAAATAAGTTCAGAAAGATCTACGTGCTTGCCAGGGTTTATCAGTGTAGTAAATAGGAGACAGAATATGTGTACCCAAAACTCTTGGCTCTTGGTCTAAGGTGAAATATCTTGCTCACACTGGTAGATTATCTTTCTAAATATAAAACATTTAAAAATAAACCCTACTAGTGATTAAAGCAATGATTGCTTGCCCCCAAGAAGTAAATGGACTATGCCAAGTGGCTAGGATACTAACCATGAGATAGGCTGATAACTACACTGGATCTAGAAGACCTCTGACTCAACTATCTGCCATCAAGTTGAGGCCAAATCATAGGTATTCTCATAAATGAGATTGGTGTTGTCTGAATTGGTTGTGAAGCCTTTTATCGTGTGTTTGTGAATAACTGTGCTTTCTTCATAAGGAGAATAAATTGAGTTTTCTTTAACAAGATAACTATTTATGAGACTTCAGATGCTTAAATTTGAACCAAATCGGCAACTTTGAAGGGAATAATTCTTAGGATATTTGAATTCTAAATCTCTTACCTGAGTTTGAATACAGGAGTTTGAAGTTCAACTGGTCTGAAATGGACATCCAACTCCACAACTAGGTAGCTGCATGACCTCTTCAAGGTTGCCTAAATTAAGAAGCCTTTACCAAATACGTTGTTATACAACATTCACTAGTATTTCATAATACTTGATCTCTTCTCTCTGTTCACACTAAATTGTTACAATGTGCTATATACAGATTAGGAAAAGATGAGGGATTCGCCACAAAGAAGGTTAAGTTTGGTAAAGTTAATCATGTCTCTCTGTTAATTGTTTAATATGGTTACACTCATACTTTTAAAATATCTACACTGAATTTATGTAGTGGACTGGGGATGCTTACTGTAAAACTTAAGATGAGGATGTGTTAGTCTTGGTAATTTAGAGAAACAAATCCACAGAAACTCATGTATGAGAGAGAGTTTTATATAAAGGTTAAGTGCACATCAA